CCCACCCAACCTGGAGCTGTGCCTGGTTCTGTCATGGCCCAGATGCAGGACCAGTGCTAGAATTAAAGCAACAGCAATGAAACACTGTCATCACTGCCCTGGAAATATCACTTAGCTGCTCCAAAATTGTCTTGCACTGCTAAGCAAGATCCAAAGGGAAGCATTTACACAGTGTCAGTGACAACTCAGCTGGAGGGGAGTCCTTGTCCTGTATCAGTGTGATCCCAGAGCATCAACACAGGCAAGAAATTGGTTCATCCCCTCAAACCTCAACCCTGGCTGAGCTCACCTCATTCCCACAGAGGCTGATATTAAAGAAGTGGAAGAACTTGGTCCCTCGGGAAGTGAAGCTGGGGCCGCTCATCAGCGAGCCCACCTGGCTGAGGCTGCTGAAATTGTAATTCAGGCTCTGGTTGTCCCTGATGTAGGACACCAGGCAGTCACTGAAGCAGGCAGAGTGGTCCTGCAGAGAAGGAGAGACATCCATTAAAGAGCAGTTATGGACCAGAGGCAAAGCATTCACCTGGGAATTAAAGCAAGCAGGTGCACACAGCACTGTTTTCCTCATTAAGGATGAAGGGGAACTTTGTCCTATTCCTATTCATCTTTCCCTTGGGAGAGATCTCATTCCTGTTTGAGTCCATTGCAACCACATATCAGGACTCTAATGTGCCCTAAGCCTGGTTTTTCTGCTGCATTAGCCAAGAAAATGCTGTTCCTTCCTTTGTTTTGCTCTGGGTGCTTTCAGAATCCCAACGTTCCAGTTTACAGCCCTGTAGACAGACCAGAATGTGGCTTTGGCTCCACATGTAACTTGCAAGGGAAACACAAGAAACTGCTCCAGAAACAAGGCCAGGATATGAACTCAGCTGAAGACAGTCAGAATATGAACAAATTGAAGCAGTTCTTCTAGTACCTATGCAGCTCCTTGCCAAGGGATGCTGCGTGTGGCAAATGTTTGCAAAGGCTTAAGGGCAGTTCCACGTAGGAGGAAATTGTTACAGGTTCCTAAAGGCACAGAAACATCATCCAGCTGAGGAAGCCACCGAGTTTAACAGAGCAGGTGTCTGGGCCAGTTTGAGATGGAAGTAAAATCTATGTTTCAGGCAATCACAGAATTTTAGGGGTTGGAATGGAGCTTAGAGCTCACCCAGCTCCAACCCCTGCCCTGGGCAGGGACACCTCCCACCAGATCAGGTTGCTCAAGGCTCATCCAACCTGGCTGTGAACACCACCAGGTGTTTGCCCTTTTGGAGCACTGTTCACAGTACAGCTTCATGAAATGAACATTATTTTGAGGTGATCTTGTCAATTTTATCTGACTATTGCATATTTACAAGCAAAAGTTAGACTAGTGACATCTTTGGCAGAGTGGGTCGTTGGTTCTAACTACACTCCCGTGCTCACAAGGCACATACTTGTAGGGGAGCACTAAAACTAGCCCTCTGAGAGCTTATATCCCAGGAAAGCCTGTCAGCACATGACTCAGAAACACTCAGTTTGCATACCTTGGTGCTCTTGCTGCCAGGCCCACATGGGATGCAGGCCTCCCTGCCATAGACCTGGTGGATGGACAGGAAGGTGTTGGCTGGACACTCCTTGCACTGGCTGGTCTCCTTCTCGATGTAGTGTCCTGCTGGGCAGGGCACACAGGATGAGCCAGACTGCTCTGAGCCCAGGGCACAGGCCCGACAAGAAGAGGCAACTCCATCCACTGCGTTGGTCACTGTGATGGAGTAGATCTTTGCCATGTCATTGATGAACTGTCTGCTCTGGAACGAGAGCCAAGAACCCACCCTGGGGTTATCACACCATTGTGTGTGGGCACTGAGCACAGCTCTGTGCACCAGTGCAACACAACTTATTCATCACTCTGTCCTTCCTCATGGAGCATTTAGCCCTAGCTGCCTCCCAAGGGCTGCTCCATGCTGAGAGCCACTCACTCCTTACTGTGCACTCAGCGTAGGGCAAGAGCTCCAGCAGTGAGTGCCCAAGCCAAGCTGTGCTGTAGAGCTCTGCACATAAAGAAGTACTTACATCTTGGCCCTCATTGATTCTCTGAAAGGCCCAGGTGAATGTGAAAGAAGCGTTTTTGGAGATGATGTGAGTGTAGGATTGTTTTTCCTTGCTTCTTTCCCATGATTCCACCACATTGGTATTCTTTCGATTAACATCCTAGAAAAAGGACATCATCTGTTTGCCACAAGACCAAAAAGCATTGTCATATTACACTAAACATCAGTGTTTTATCACATAGAGATTAATGTATAAAAAGGACTTTACAATTGTATTTACCACTTAATAAAGGAGAGCAACACACTCAACCTGTTTTCCATGATTTTGAAGTGAAAATGGGTGTCTATTCCAAAAGATGCTCTAGCTCATACACAAGTTAAGCTCAAAGTCCTAGGGCAGGTTATAAATATCAGGAGAACAAATTCAGCTCTTTCAGATTTGAAATGGTTTGTCTATAAAGGAGGAGGTGTCCTATGAGGACGTGAGGAGGTGTCCCTGCCCAGGGCAGGGCTTGGGGCTGGATCATCTCTGAGCTCCATTCCAACCCCTAAAATTCTGCAATTCTATGACTTTTAATAAGCAAACAAGGAAAGAAAAAAGCACAGAACTTTGCTTTCACAAACAGACATCTGTCTGCTGCCCTACCAATCACCCAGATCACTGCCAGGATCAAGACTCCATTCCCAATTTGTCCTCTTCCCACCCCTCTGTCCCACACCTTGACTTGCGACTCTGTTCCTAGACGCTAACTCCACTGCACAAGAGACACTGATAATTACATCAGTCAGTTCAACATGGGGAAAATTTATCTCCTTAGTGTCCAATTATTCCTTTTAGTACAAACAGATAACGTGGAACGGTTCATAACTCACATGGTGGAGGAATTTCCCTAGGTCATTCATTAAATCCTTCCTGTAAGGGCACAGCAGATCCTAAGCTAATGTCATACTTAATCACAATCACAATAGATCCAGTGCAACTAATCACACCTATGTAGAGGTATTAGAGTGACTTGTGGAATAGCAGGCTCAGCCCTCAGTCCTGGAGAAAAAGGTCTCACTTACTGCCATGAAGTACAGCACACAATCTGCTGAACAGATGGTCTCAAAAACAAAAGTAATCCGTCCTAGTTCTGCCCCAGTCGCTCCTGTCACCGATGTTGGAGGTCTGTTCAGAGAGAAGGAACAAACATTTACAAGGTGCTCTCCAGACAGGCAGCACTCAACCCTTCAGATTCCTTTTCACAGGAAGAGGTAACCATCAAGGTGCTGTCACAGACACCTGCAGCACAGTGGATGGCAGGTTTGCACAGAGACTCTGGGCATGGGCTGCAGCAGGGGCTGAATTCTTATGGTACAGTTCCCTCCTTATAATGAACACAGGTGGCCAAGGAGGCCAAGGGCACCTTGTCCTGGCTCAGCAGAGTGTGGCAGCAGCACTAGGGCAGTGTCATCCCCCTGCACTGGGCACTGGGGAGGTCCCAGCTCAGTGCTGTGCTCAGCTTTGGGCACTCACTGCCCAAAGGCCATTGAGGCTCTGAGCGAGTCCAGCCAAGGGCAACGAGGGCAGCAAAGGGCAGAGCACATGGGCAAGGGCTGAGGGAGTTGGGTTGGTCAGCCTGGAGAAGAGGCTCAGGGGTGACCTCCTGGCTCTCTGCAACTCCTGCCAGGGCTGGAGAGAGGTGGGGGATGTGTGTCCTGCCAGGGCTGAGGGAGAGGAGAGAGGGAATGGCCTTGAGCTGAGCCAGGGCAGAGTCAGATTGGGTGTGAGGAGAAATGTTTTCCCTGTTGTGGTGTTCAGCACTGGGATATTGCCCAGGGAGGTGGTGGAGTGATCCTGCTCCTCTCCTCAGCCCTGGTGAGATCACACCTGTAGTATTGTGTTCAGTTTTGGGCTCCTCAATTTCCACTTGTCTTTCATTCATTACATGATTCCAGTTCAGAAAGGAAGTGTGAATAGGTGTAAGAGGTAGAGATAAATGAGAAATAGATGGAAAAAAAATCCTGATCCTTACTTAAATCCTGGGATGTGCAGGTTCAAGATAAGATAGTCATTGTCAGAACCTCCTGCCCCACTCTGGATGTGATCACCAGCCACTTCCCAACCTTCACAGGACAGAAAAAGCACAATTCAATAAACAGACAGCAAAACCCCCTCTATGTTACCAAAATTCTTGGAGCAATTCAGTCCTTCAGTGTATTTTAAAGACACCCCTTATAAAGTACAGAGTAATATCATAATGCTTTTGGATGAAAAATGCTGATTTTCTAGGCAAATGTCACCTTTGAAATCAGCAAAGCAATTGAAATTCCCTGAGCTGTGCTGTGCAGCTCAAGGGGGATGATCCATCTGATATCTTCCAGCCCTAAAACAGATGAATCAATAAGTCAACATGCTAAATGTTAAGCATATACTTCACTTCCCCTCGGCTCAACACACAAAAGTCAAAGCTGGACTTACATCAGTCTGACAGGGTGGATCAGACTGAGGAAAATCCTTCAGAGAAGGAGCTGGGAGAAGTCCCAAAGAGGCTGACTTTCACTGGTGAGCTGTGACTGCTCTCTGCTGCAAATTTAGCACATGTGCAGAGAGAAAGCTCTAAATGAACAAAATCACAGGCTTCAATTCAGTTTTACACATGATTTATGTGTGACCGCAAAACCACAAAATGAGATAAACTAGGGAGAAGTCAGATAGTGCTTTTTTCAGTGGGGTATGAATATTATTTGGAGATGTATCTAAGTCTAGGGTGGGATAAGTCTTTGGCTGAAGGGATTTCACATAGGCTGCAGCTCCTGCTCTCTTCTAGTATGCAAGAGATGTTTGATTTCTGCTTTGTGGTGCTGTGGCTACAGGAAATCTCAAAGCTGTTTTGAGGCATGCAGCAAAGAGCAGAGACATTTGGATGGGTGCTACATTACATCCATGCAGGAGGAAGACCCATCACAACACAGGGAGTTTGGCTCACCGTTCATCCCATCGCACTTGGAGTTGCCAACATTAAAGCAAGAGGTCTTCATGTTGCCTGGCAGGATGTTCCACCACTTGTACTCAAAGCCAAGGGCTGGTTCAGTGCCAGCAGGGCAGGCCCTGCACTCTGCAGGGTGAGAGGGCAGAGAAAGGTGTCACATGGCCAAAGCACATCTCAAACAGTGTTTGAATGAACATAGATACTACATTTTACTCAGTGGTGCAAATAATAAGCAAAGGAAATAATTGATTTCTCTGTAGTTAAGTGGTCAAAGACTTACCAGGACCAGAAGAGTGGAAATGTTCCAGTGGTGAGACCCTGTCCCAGGGTGCCCAGGGAGGCTGTGGCTGCCCCAACCCTGGCAGTGTTCACAGCCAGGTTGGATGAGCCTTGAGCAACCTGCTCTGGTGGGAGGTGTCCCTGCCCAGGGCAGGGCTTGGGGCTGGGTGAGCTCTAAGCTCCATTCCAGCCCCTAAAATTCTGTGATTCTATGAAATGAGACCAGCATTTCATCAACTGTAGATCATACACCTGTGGTAAGTAATCTGCAACTGGACCCACAAGCCACACTTCCTTTTTAATGGATTCAGCTGAAGGTTTGGTCATACTGGTAAACAAGATTCTCACAAAGTGCAGTGGGGAAACACTGGGCCAATGCATCTCCAAATCAACAAGCCAGAGTTTAGGCTAGACAATCACAGAATCACAGAGTAATCAGAGCTGGAAGGGACCTTGAGGATCATCAGTCCAACTCCTGCACAGACATCCCTGACAGTCACACCCTGTGCTGAGAGCATTGGCCAAACACCTCTGGAGCTCTGTCAGCCTTGGGGCTGTGACACTGCCCTGGGAGCTGTTCAGTGCCCAAACACCTCTGGGGAAAGAAGAACCAGTTGCTAATCTCCAGCCTAACCCTCCCTGACACAACTCCAGCCCATTCCCTGGGTCCTGTCCCTGGGCCCAGAGAGAAGAGGTCTGTGCCTGCCCCTTTACTTCCCCTAGTGAAGAAGTTGTATTGAATATTGAAGTATTCCCTGGATGGGACATGTACAATAGAAGCAACAGGAACCACTGGGCAGTTTCTGTATGAATTCTGCAGAAATACACCAAATTTCAAGTACTTATCAGCCTGAAGTGATACCATCTTCTAGTAGCTACAAAAAAGAAATTAGTTCTCACCTGACAGTGCTTAAAATGAGGTTTTCACAGGAAAGAACTTGGTGTGAACAGAATGGGTGAGAAGCAATTACTGACTGCAAAGTTCTGATTCCCTTTTCAGAACCCCTTAAAATACCTCTCAGGGTGTTTGTACCAGCCAAGAAATCCATCCAGAACACAGCAGGGCAAATTAAAGTAACAATCACTGATAAGAAAGGACTTCAGAGATAAAACAGACATCCAACTCCTTCTCTCCAATGTTATTTAACAAGTATTTTTGCAAAACAAGTGACACATGCAGTGTTGTGCAGACTCTTACCCTGTGTCCCATCTGAAAACGTGCCTGGTGGGCAAGGGGAACAGGAGGATGAGGCGTTGTTGTTGTAAAAGCCAGGGTTGCAGGGTGGACAATCCTGCCTCTCCCCAGAAGGAGGTAGGCTCAATGCATCAGGGAGATCCTCTCTGCAGATCTTGGGCTCAATCCATTTGTACATGATCTGAGTCTGGAAGGAGAAGAGATGGCACTCACACAGTGTGCTACATAGCTTTAGGACTAGAAGCATAAATGAAGGTCCATCTGGTAAATTCAGTTAGGGTATTCCCAATGTTTGAGGCCAAACCCAGACTTTGTGCATCCAGGACATCCAGGCTGCAGCCATGTCTGTGCCAAGGTCATGTACCTTGGCTGACCCACATCCTGACCGACCTACGGACACGATGTCCCAGCTTGACATTGCTCATGCCTCATCTCGATGGACTTTTCTGGCCACTTTGGCTGAACCTGAATGCTGAAGCTTTGGGTCTCCTTTGGCCATCTTGCTCAGGCACTGAGGAACTGCTCCTGCTGTAAGAGTGACACCTGCTCCTATGGCCTTTCCTTGCTTCTCCTGACCCCTTAGAGAATTTTCTGTAGTATTGCTCCAGAAATGCTTTGGCAGCAGCATCAGGGTGCACAGCTGGAAAAGCACGTGTGGTTCCCAGAGCCCAGACACACTGCACAGCACAGCAATGCCACTCACTGCATCTGAGCAGGGAGAAGAAGGTGCCCACAGTCATGTGGGGAAGGTCTCTGAAACACTCAGCCTGGGATTTTTAAAACAGCAGGTAGATGGAAAGTCAAGAGGAATCAAGTACCTAAATCTCCTGGGGTCCCTTCCACACATGGAATGGGGACAGCAGAGGGGAGACAACAATCTAATGCCCAGTTGGGCTGGTTTGGGCTGAAGTGAACTTTCTTCCCAGTGGATAGTGTGGGGCCATTTGGAGTTTGTGCAGGGCACAGGGTTGATGATATGGAGATATTTATGTTGTTGCTGAGCAGAGTTCACCCAGAGCCAAGGCCTTTGCTGCTTCCCACACTGCCACACTGACAAGGGAGTTGGGGCTGCATGGGAGATTGGGAGGAGACACAGCTGGGACAGGTGACCCAAAGTGACCAAAGAGATATTCCATACCATGGGACTCAGTATATAAGGTGGGAGGAAGAGAGACATCTGGAGTGATGGTGTTTGTCTTCCCAAGGAACCATTCCCTGTGCTGGTCTCTGCTCTCCTGGAGGTGCTGAACACCTCCTGTCCATGGGAAGCAGTGAATTCATTCCTTGTTTTGCTTTGTTTGTGTGTGCAGCTTTTGCTTTCTCTATTGAACTGTCTTTATCTCAACCCATGGGTTTTTCTAGCTCTTACCCTTCCAATCCTCTCCCCCATCCCACTGCTGGGGAGTGTGTGAGAGGCTGTGTGGGGTTTGGCTGCTAACTGGGGTTAAACCACGACACCAGTGAAAACTCTGGCTGATTTCAGTAAGCCATGGATCAACAGGCTGATGCCTTACAGCCACTCTTCACCTGAAGATGGGCTGCAGAGCCACTGAGCTGCATCACATGGAGACACAACTGTGGATACAGCAAACCTGGAGTGATTTCCAGAGATGCAGAACACCAAGCAGTGAAAGCAGTCTGAAAACCCAGGCAGTATCTGTGTGCCTGGGACACATGCTGTTGTTGTTGCAGCTGGACAATGAAGGGTCTGCAGACAGACCCAGTTTGGCTCCTGGTGATGCCCATGTGAAGGGAAGAGCACTGAGGAGGCAGGAAAAGGGTCAGCAGTAGGAGGTGTGCAGTGCCAGGGAGTCTTGGATTGCACAGAGCAGTGACAGGGTAAGCCACAGGAGGCTGTGATTATAGCAGAACGTGGGGGTGTAGCAGTGGACACTGTGGCTATTTTCTCAAGTCATTAGAGGCAGTTAACAGAGCAAGAATCAGTGAGACAAGACCAGATTGCAGAGCCTGCCAGCTCTGGAGCTAAAAACTCACTGATGCTTTCTTATTAAAGCACAGAACCTCTCAGCTGCATTTTGGAAATGACTGATCAGAAGACTCCAAAATACTCCAGACAGACAGTAAATATTAGACCATCAGCCCACAGGGGCTATGGATTTTGCCTACTTGCAATCCCATCTGGATCTAAGAGAGATGGGAAAGGAAAGAGACAACACAGGCCTGGCCACACCTCTGAGGGCTCCATATACCAATAAGCAGGAATTTCTCCTCCAAATCCCATCAAAATTCCCACTTGACTGCTAGGACAAAGGGCAGGAGAGCTCCAAAGCCAGGCTGCTCCTCCAGCAGGTCCCTCTCTCAGAGAGCTAGTGGATCCAAGAGCTCCAGGTGATTTGAGCATCCCATGAGGAAAACACATTACCAGCAGCTAAGCTCTGCTGCTGCACATGAGCATTCCCAGGCTATGTATATCCCATTATTTCAACAGATCACAGGCTCTTCTTTGATGCCAAAACTGAGGGATATGACACACATCATCCCTATGCAGCCAAACACTCCCCCCTGAAACAGGGATGGCCATGTCCAATGTTCTGTGCCATGGCAGCACTTGAACTATGCCTTAGCACTGCCAGGAGTTAGCACAAGCCAAAAGCATGCCAGGAAAGATTGCTAACAACTAGGGCCAGGGATATCTGGGACAGTGCTTCATCCTGAGCTCCAGCCAGCATGGGAGTAGCACCAGTGACCCCATCAGAGCCATGACAAGTGCAAGGAGCTTATCATCTCACACCAGCAGATCCCTTAAGCACACCCATGGCAGGCAGATCCTTACAAACAGATCAAGGCTGGAGAGAGGACAGCTAGAGGGCAAGCCCAGAGCCTCAGAGAGACTCAGTGCTGGAAGTATAACTGGGAAATAGATTCCTAGGAACCATACCATGTTCTCAAATCCAGAGAGAGCAGTAAGCTCGATGAGCTTCAAAACTGTATCATGTCCACTACTTACCTTTCCTTCCTTATCACATGGGGTGTGGATCTGGAAAAAGTCTTTGCTTGTGCATGGAGGACGCTCTGTGCAGGCACTGGATCCCTCCTCTGCAGAGAAAATGGGAGAAACAGGGTGTTAAACCATCAGGTGCTCCCTGAAAACAACTGCAACGGTCTTAAAATCTGAATATTAAAGTGAGTCTTCGGGAAAATACAAAATGAGAATGAAAACTTCGTGGAGTGTCCATGAACCTTCCCCTGAGCTGAAGCAGGAGAACAGGAGATGTGTCAGCTATGCTCATACTGACACACTGAAATTCATTGGTTCAGTACACCCAGGGAGAATGATTAGGAAGAAATTCGTTACTGTGGGGATGGTGAGACACAGGAACAGGTCACCCAGACAAGTTATGGATGTCCCATCCCTGGAAACATTCCAAGCCAGGTTGGGTGGGGCTTGGAGCAACCTGAGCTAGTGGCAGATTTCCTGCCCATGGCAGAGGGGGCTGGAACTGGATGATCTTTAAAGTCCCTTCCAAGTCAAACCATTCTGTGTTTCACCCAAACCTTCCCCTCATCTCTTCACCTTCAGGCAGCAAGTTGTGCAGTTTGCCAAGAGTGGGGACGTGTTCTCACTTGATAAGGAACAAAACCACTCTAAGCCATTTGAAACTTCCTTGCAATAATGGCCTAATTTTTCCTCTCCCCAGATATTTTTACATTCCCACTGTGAGCACAGGTCCCCAAGCACCTCCCGTAACTGAGGACAGAGGTGCTATGGTCAGTAACTGATTCTTCAAGAACTACAAGGAAGAAACCTGGAGACATTTTGGGCATGAAGAATAGATTAAGCCCATGTTATTTGATGACCACCACCAGCTGAGAATGCAGAGGACTTTGGAACAAGGGTTTGCAACTAGATCACCACCTCTTCCAACCACACAGGAGGCAGAAGCGAGGCAGGAGACACTACTTGGAAAGGAGATTCCTCAAAACGTAGCAAGTCTAAAGGCAGAGATGAACCAATTCATGTCCTAGTCAGCTGATAACACAGATTGCCACGAGAGGGCACAGCATGACTGAGAGATTCTTGGCAGGAACTGTTCCCTTCCAGGTCATCTCCATCCCTGCATGGTAACAGGGATGACCTCAGCCAGGTTCGCCTGTGGCCTGTTGAGTGTGACCTCTGCATATTTTGGGAAGTCCCAGCTTCATTTCCCTTTTGCTTATCAACTGGAGACTAAGCTTCAGTAGGTTATGCAACCATTTCACACCTGAAATAGCTGATGACCTTATATAGAACCATCAGGGCTGGAGGAGAACTCTAAGGTCATCCAGTCCAACCATGAACCTGTCCCTGCTGGAACCCCCAAACCCTAACCCAGATCCTCCAGTGCCACATCAGACACCTCTGAAACACCTCCAGGGATGGTGACTGCACCACCTCCCTGGGCAATATCCCAGTGCTGAACACCACAACAGGGAAAACATTTCTCCTCACACCCAATCTGACTCTGCCCTGGCTCAGCTCAAGGCCATTCCCTCTCTCCTCTCCCTCAGCCCTGGCAGGACACACATCCCACACCTCTCTCCAGCCCTGGCAGGACAGACCATACTCAGACCCTCCTGGTTTTGCTGAACCCATTGGATTTATGTACCTGCATAATACATTTCTTCTTGACACTTGGTGCACTCTTTAGCTCCTTTCTCAGAGTAAGTGTTTCTCGGACACACCTGGCAGCCAGAGGCTCCTGGTTTGTCACTGAAGGTACCAGGTTTGCAGGCAAAGCATTCAGAAGTGTAGGCAACTCCTGGGAGAGAAATAACAGGTCAAGCACTGGCAGAGGGACATTCCATACCTGCTGCCTTCCTGCTTACAGGTGACAGCAGCTCAGCTGAAAAAACAGCACAAACCCCACAGACTTTCACCACTTGCTTTAGACACTTTGGCTTTGCTGACTCATAATTGAGGTCTTTAATCTTTGCTCCACAAGTCTAACCCATCTAAGAACCTCATATGACACTCTAAATTTGATGACACAAGATCAAAAGAGTAATCCCAGATTGAATAAGCCATGTATGTATGAATTTAACTGTCACTGTTCTATGTTTCTCTCTCTATTTGCTAAGCCAGACTTTTCCAGCAGAAGGCATCATGTACCAGCTAAATTCATCTTTCAGCCTTTTCCTGACACTCTCAAGTTTTGCTGTTCTGTTTCCACATTTTAGAGGAGGTGACATGGGACAAGGAGGCTAAAAAAAGTCATTTCAGTGCTGTAGACACATCAGTAGAAATAGCACTTGGCAACCAAGAGTAAGATAAGAACTAAAAGACTAGTAAGACTTACCTTCAATGGTGATGTTTTTCACCAGAACTGGTTTTACTACTTTGGAGCCCATGAGAATCCCTGTTGTTCTCCAGTATAATATATTGCTACCTGATTTCAGAGTTACCTGCAACAACACAAGTGACAGTTAGCCATCTCCTCACCAAGGCATTGCTTTGTTTACTTCCATTTCTTGCATCCTAGCAGTGATCCAAAGCTGCTCAGTGAGTCAAGAGGTAATGGGGAGACAGCTAAGGACAGACATCTCTGGGGAGTGCCAAAGTTTGCTTCAAAAAAAAGCCTCTCAACACCCTAAAAACCATCTCCCATGCAGACTCTGCCTACATCCCTCAGCTCACCCAAGTCAATGCCCTGGCCTTGGATCTACCTTTCAGCTCATGCCACTCACCCCTCCTCACCCAGCTCTGCAGCCTCCCTATGGGACTTGCACCTGAGCTAACAGACACTGCCAGCCAGAGCTGGCTCAGGAATAGTTTCTCCTCCAGGAGGATAAGCAGACCATGGAAAATGGAGACCCCACTGCTGTCTATGCCCATAAAAGCCTTTTTCTTCTGGCATAATGTCACCTATGTGAACCTTTGCTGATATGGCTCTGGGAGCTTGGGCATGATGCTACAGTGGAAGCCAAACCTTAGTTAATGAGTTGGTCCACACATGGTCTGTGCACAGAGCAAACTCAGCCAGCTGGGTCATGCGTTGGGTGTTCCTGGCATGCACAGGCTCTTAGCCATGCTGCAGGAGCCACCCTGGTGCTGTCAGCTTGGGCTTCAAACAGGTAAGAACCCATGGAGCAGAAGTTTGTCCTTCTGCCTCCACATCCCACACCACTCCCACTGCTCTGCCAAGACACAAGGAATAATCCTGTGCTCTCATGAGCAACAAATGCTGCAGAAGATTTCAACCACAATCATGCAAAGCTACTGTGGCACACAGATCTGCATAGATCTATCCAAGCTCATAAAGCACTGCATTCAAAGCCCAGGGAAATCAATACAAAGTCTTGAATCTAGATCTTCTGCCTTGGGATCAGCCCTTTAGAGAGCTCTGTGACTTCTCCTCTCAGCACTAGGAAAGTTGTGCATTCACAGGAGCTAGTCTGGGTTTGGTGTCTGCCCAGAGGAAATCACAGACATTTAAAGATGGGAAAAACCCTCATGAAGGAAATTTTCATAGACTTACAGAATGAGAGCCCCATTCACCATTGTCTGTGAGCTTCACCCATTTGTCTGCTGTGGATTCCATCTCTTTGCACTGGTCATTTTGGATCTGTTAATAAAAACACAAGGTCAGTGACCACAATCAGGTGCATCTCTCTGTCAGGAACTATAACAGTCAGCTCTGCTCCTCTTGTCTACGTATTTAGGACAACAGGTGCCTTACTTGTGGCAAAATAACACCCCAGCTCTCAAAATCTGCTAGAGCTTAGTGGTGCCTCCAACAACCACCTCTGATACAGGTGGAAAAAAAAGAGTAAGAGGAGATCATAGATTTGTCCTCTCACTATCAGGTCAGACAAGGATTATAAGCATCTTGTCTTGCCTGCTTCTTCCTTTTCCTGAGCCCACCAAGACCCAATTCCCTAAATTCCAGAGGTTGTGGGCTTCTGAGTCAGGGTGGAGGTAGGAGTGGATGGGCCAAAGCTGAAAGACAAACTGCTTTCCCTGCAGCCAATACCTCCTGTGTCTTTGGCCTGCTGCCACCTGACCTAGGGATGAGAACAATGTTATCGAGGGAGAGGCAACATGCCATGGACAGTCTGTTCTGGCAGAAGTGTGAGGTTGGTTGTTCCTTGCCCAGGTCCAGTGCAGCTCAGAAGCCTTTCCTTACAGCAGGGTTTGGTGCACTTCTTTCTTCTTAGAACTTCTCCCATGAAAAGTGTCAAGTCCCTCTGAGGCATGAGATCACATGCTCAGCTTTTACTGCACCAGGGAGAAAGGTCCCTTCAACCCTTTCAGACCCTTGATCTGGGCTCAAGCACCCTCCTCAAAACTGCTCCACATCAAGTCTGACCCAAGGTGCATAACTTCACATCATCCAAAGCATCTGTACACTGAATTCCCACATACATCAACAGCACTGAAGAAAAGAGGTGAGCAGAGTGTCTGTGTAGAAGGTAGCTCTCTAATTATCTTGAGGAACCTGAGCTGCAACATCTTGGTGTCTTGGTTCCTATCTGCAAAAGGGAGGTAAGAATGTAGAGTGTCTTCTCACCAGCTGTAAAGGAAGGGCAGACCAAACTCTTCACCATTTCCTGGCAACCTGCACACCACTGCTGCTGAAATGCTACTGTCCAGAGCTCGAGTGTCACTGCTCAATGTGTTTAAGCACAAGAGCCAGGAGGTCACCCCTGAGCCTCTTCTCCAGGCTAACCAACCCAACTCCTTCAGCCCTTCCTCATACTACAAGTTTTCTAGACCTAATGATCTTTATCTGTGTTGAATTCTTACAGCATAGGATTGGATTCTCCAGATAAAATGACTTACAAAAAACTCAAAGAAGATGTTGTTGTCGACGTATTGGTATTCAAAGAAGACAGAACCAGATTTCTTCAGGTGCACAGCATAGATGAGAGAAACTGTACAGTCATCCCTGTTTGACTCGATGTAATTCCCTCGGGGTGTCCACGTGGAGCTGAGGAACACAAACAGAACGAGCCTGAGCTGAGATCAGACACTGAGGAGACTGTTCTTCTGCTACTGCACAGAAACACGTCATGTAATGAGGAGCCCAGAATCCCCCAACAGCACACTGCAGGGAACTCATAGCTTTATTGCCAGATTCCCATTTACCTTTCAAATAACATAAATAGAATCCTTGTGTTTTATATCTGTTTCTATATGTTACATGAATAATATTAAATAGAATATTTTTTGTTGAAGTTGCCCATGGGAAAGGATACAGTAGGAAAACTTGAGGCCTCAGCCTACATAAGGAAGGTTTATTATCCACAGGTTCAATATACTTTTAATTACACTGAGAAAGAACCTTCTGCAACCACCATGGGGCTCTAAACAGGCTGTAAAAGGACCTTTAGCCACATTTACTGTACCATGACCCTGGAGCTTTCCAGCTACAAAGAAAAACAGCTCCAGGTTGATCTCAGCCTCACTAGCTGCTGGCTGAGCCCAAGGAGACCACGCTGACAGCAGAGCTGGCTCCAAACTTCACCTCCCAGTCACCCCTGTGCCATCAGCAGGGCTGGTTACCCTCTGCAGAGCTTAGGTGAGTCATTAAGCAGCTTTGAGCAGCTGAGCTGTCTCAGGTTTACCCATGGTGCATAACCCAGAACTCCTTACTTGTTGCAGCTGTCAGCTTTACTCTCAGCTGAGCCAACTGCTGTGTCCATGAACGTTGCCACGTTGGAGAATCCTGCTGGCAGCTCATCCCACTCATCAAACTTGATCCCACTGCCCAGCGAGTAGGTCCCCTCTGCACATTTGCTGCACACCTGGTTCTTCATCTCCAGGTACTCACCAGAGGCACAGGAGAAAGCTGGGGAGGCAATGGTTTGCATCACATGAATGGATAATTAGTGCTTAGTAATCCTTATTAATTGCCATGAATCATTTTCCCACTTCATGAAGATTGAGCTGTCACTAAAGAGAAGCAAACAATGCACCAGTCCCAGCCCCACTTCATGAAGACTGAGCTGTCACTACAGAGAAGCAAACAATGCACCAGTCCCAGGAACACAACTGCTGAACTGCCAACATCAGCTGCAGAACTGAGATGTTCCCCAGTTTTCTATTGAGATGTTCACCTGGTTTTTCACTGCCAAGCCCAAATGGCTCCTGGTTTGCAGCTCATTTGCATCCACCAAACCAGATGTAAGAACCACAATCTCTATCAACACACTGTCCAAATGCAATTTGTGAAAGTGAGGACTTGCAATACAGTTCTCCTCACCCAACTCTCACACCTTGAGCTTGATTAGAATCACCAGTACCTGAGAGCCAGAAGAGACTTCTCCTCCACCCATGTGGCAGCTAAGAAGAGTGCCCAGCAGCACTCTGACAGTTAGAAAACACTATAACCCTTGGCTGAGAGGAACAGACCTAACCCAAGGGTTTCTCTATGATTCTCCTCACATGAACTGTCTACAAAGCCTTTGCACTGTCAGGTCTATCTTGCCTGATAGACCAGATGGTCTTGGAAAAGGTCACCCATGGGTGTGTGTCTAGGAAATAAGGATCTTTGCCTGGGGTGACATGAACCTGGTGAGAAAATAAGGACTGGCTGCCAGCAGAGCTAAGGCAGTAATGAAAACCTGTGTGATTAGGGGGTAGCACACACGAGATGAAGGACAGCATCGCCACAGAGGAGATGAAGGTGTGATGTGAAGTTTCAGGAATCTAAATCCTGTATCTTAGCTGTGTGTTCTGATTTGTCCTCACTGAGCTCTCCCTCTTGCTTCAGACTCCAGGAGAAAAGTCTCCTGTCTGAGAGACAGTCTGTGTGAACACCTTCTGCCCTGACCCCAGAGCCATTTGTTTAGGCATCTGATACATCATTTGCAGAGCAAACATCTCTGTTGAATAACTTTTCCCTCTCTGACTGCAAACCTTCCTGTCACACCTTCCAAACATCAGTTTGGTGCTACACACCAACTCACCCACAGCAACACACATTGGGAGAGTGACTGTGATCTTTCCTTCCGTGAAAAACACTGTGAAATGCATTAAAAGGTTTCATGACTTGCCCCATCATGGGCATTTTTCAAACTGGAAAAGCATTTTCAGAGGGAGTTAGGAGCAGCTTGACATGCTGTGGTGGATACACTGCTGCTCTCAGTTGAAGCTGATGCAATTATTGGTGATTTGCAGCTGTGGCTTTCTTAAATAAATACAGAAGAGAAAAAACCCAATGTTGTGGTTTGTACAGGCAACCAAGTCTTGCTGACAAAAGGTGCTGCACAGTACTGTTAGCCAGACACTGCCAGAGGCAGCCACACACTCCTACACACAGGCAATAAAGCTGACACCAGATTCTCTCCCTAAAAAATTAACAAGCTGCAGTGCTAATACCCACCAAACCCATTGTACAGGTCTTGTGAAACAGACCTCATTCCATTCTTTAAAAGGATTACAAGCTGCTTGATAAAGGTGACAGAGTGGATGTAATAGACTTAGGGTTCCTAATACAGTTAGCTCAGTTTTGCATGGCTCTGATGAAGAAGTTAGAGCTGCACAATACCAGCAAGGCACATCTTAAAGGGATTAAGAACTGCTTGAGTTACAGATCTCAGTCAGGGGAACCATCCCAGGGCAGAGAGGAAGGGGCAGTTCTGCCTGCCCTGGGCCTGAGGCTGATTGCTCTCCACGTTTTGATCAAGGCTCTGCAGGCAAATGGAAAAGGAATGGCCTGAAGATTGTCAGGTGAGCAACTGTTGCCAAGCCTGAGCCCACTCAAAGTCAGTGTGTCTTGACAGAGTCAAAGGTAAAGACAAGCTGCTGAGAGCAGGGAGTGCTGGTTCTGCCTGCAGAAGACTGAAATGTATCCTAGAGAGCAGCAAGTCTGAGGGTTGACCAAAGCCACCACTGATCAACAGCTTCCACTGTCAGGATATGCAAAAAGGCACTAGTGAGACCTGTGAATATATTTACAGGTGAAGGTAGAGAACACAGAATCAGAGAACCATCAGGGCTGGAGGAGACCTCAAAGATCACCCAGTCCAACCCTTAACCTGTCACTGCTGGAACCCCCAAACCCTAACCCAGATCCTCCAGTGCCACATCAGACACCTCTGAAACACCTCCAGGGATGGTGACTGCACCACCTCCCTGGGCAATATCCCAGTGCTGAACACCACAACAGGGAAAACATTTCTCCTCACACCCAATCTGACTCTGCCCTGGCTCAGCTCAAGGCCATTCCCTCTCTCCTCTCCCTGCAGCCCTGGCAGGACACACATCCCCCACCTCTCTCCAGCCCTGGCAGGAGTTGCAGAGAGCCAGGAGGTCACCCCTGAGCCTCTTCTCCAGGCTGACCAAACCCAATTCCTGAAGACCTTCCCCATATGACAGGTTTTCCAGACCTTTTATGAGCCTCACTGCCCTTCACTTTCCTTCTTGATGCAGCTCTGGCCACTCAGTCTTGCCCATTCCCTCATCTATCCCACACCACTTGGATGCACTACTCCTACCTCCATCACTCTTCTCACAAGACATTTTTGTCCAGTCACTTCTTCCTTACAAGACCTAAAACTATTTCAGGTCTTCTGTTTGTTCCATTACACCTGAGCATGTGCATGTTCATATGTGTCTTTCTGGGTCTCCCTGGCCCTCAACACATTACAACTACAAACAGCTTGCCCAGGGAGGCTGTGGCTGCCCCAACCCTGGCAGTGTTCACAGCCAGGTTGGATGAGCCTTGAGCAACCTGCTCTGGTGGGAGGTGTCCCTGCCCAGGGCAGGGGGTTGGGGCTGGATCATCTCTGAGCTCCATTCCAACCCCTAAAATTCTATGCTTCTGTGATTTACAAGAACACACAGGACTGGATTTTACCAGATTTTAACAGCTATTGTAATTAAAAGGGGGTAGCAGTTGAGCAATTCCACACAAACCAATGAAAATACAAAGCAAAACCAAACTCAAGCACTGGCTTTCCATCCTTCCCCTCTCCATTCCCGTGTTGCGCATCCAAATCCTCACAGCTTGGCATTCAGGTGAGACACTGCCCATCTCCTGCAGGCAGAGTCTGGGCTGAATTATCTCACCCTCCCATGGGCAGAGGTGAAAAATTGTGGCTCAGAAAGGAAAGAGGAGGTTGGCAGCATCAGGCAGTTGTCCCTCTGAACAGCTGCTGGGTTGCCACATGCCTGGAGGGGAAGATGTGGCCAAGGACAAGTCCACAGAAGCATCTGTTGAGTGATATCCTGGGACATCAGGGGCCACACAACACAGAACCAAGGACCAACCAAAATACAGAACGAGGAGAAAAGAAAAAAAAGGAAAGCCAAAGGATGAGAGGCAATCATTGCTTCCTTATTAATGTTTCCTATAATCTCACCAGCTTCAGAATGTCTTCTGTGAATAATTTATATGAGGCTTCTCCAATAGACTGTGAATAATTGATGTTCGTTTGCTTCAGTCATTATATCCCAATGTGTTACCAGGAACCAGACTGAATCTTAATTTAAAGGGAAAAAAAAAACTGTCTAGGCTGTTTAGGCTTGAAATGAAATCACACTGAAAGCTTGGGGAAGAGATCCTTCCATGGAACAGACCCTTCCTCTTCCTAGGAGCAAATACTTTTTCCTTTTATCCAAGAAATTACAAACTAGAGCAAAGCTTTTTGCAGTTCACCTCTTCAACAGGAATAGCATCATTTTCCCCAGCTGGCCTGGCACATAGGACACTTCTATTATCAGTTCTACTGCATCACTGGGGCACTGAAAGGTGTGGGTTTGGCATGTGAGCACTCAATCAGTTCGCGGCAGTTTGCTGAAGGGTGCAGCCACCACCAGGAGGTTAGGAAGCACATTTGTTGCCAAGGTTTCAACAACCATCCTAATGGCTCAGCACTGGAGGTGGCAAGAAACACACCTCGAGGTGAGTGAGCAGCTCTCCAGGCCCTTCTGACTCCACCATGCATTTTTTCACAAAATCATAGAACCACCAAGGCTGGAGGAGACCTCAAAGATCACCGAGTCCAACCATGAACCTGTCACTGCTGGAACCCCCAAACCCTAACCCAGATCCTCCAGTGCCACATCAGACACCTCTGAAACACCTCCAGGGATGGTGACTGCACCACCTCCCTGGGCAATATCCCAGTGCTTGACCAGCTCAAAACCTTCTATTTAAGTTTTGTGTTATGAAAGAAGAATGATTAAACTCCTGAAGATCACTGAAATTGCCTTATAAACCCTACAGCCTTAAAAAGGTTATTTGCCCTAATTATCTGCAATTAGCAGGAAGATTTGTACCTCCTCCTGTGCTATCCTGGGAGCAGATTACACCAGTGGGAATGAACTGAACAAACACAGCTCAGTAGCAATAAATCAGGTCAAATTTTGCTCTCAGAGCCCAGCAAAGTCCATTGTAATTAAGGACAGTCTATTTTCTGCAGTCAGTGGAGCTTTCCATGTGCTTAGTTTGGTACAGGCTCAAACAACTCGCACAACTGCAGCACATTTCAGATTCCAAGAAGTCACTGCCTGCTTAGTGGCACCTGGAAAAGGTGAACTTTGCTAAGCAAAGCCATTAATAACTCCATGGCACCATACCTAGAATCACAGACTCATTAAGGTTGCTCAAACCCAGGTTGGATGAGACCTTGAGCAATCCCAGGCTGAGCCACAGGAGTGTGGGCAGCAGGGCAAGGGAGGTGATTCTGCCCCTCTGCTCTGCTCTGGGAGACCCACCTGGAATCCTGCACACAGCTCTGGGGCCTCAGCCTGAGAAGGACATGGAACTGTTGGAGCAAGTGCAGAGGAGGCCACAGAGCTGCTCAGAGCACTGGAGCATCTCCCTGTGAGCACAGGCTGAGG